TTGAAAATTTGATGCAATAGGTGGGCATTATTGCATCGAGAATGAATTTGATGCGATAGTAATTCATGTCAATGCAATAGGTATGGCATATCGCACCGATTTCGTACCAAGATGCAATAGGTAGAAATTATTGCATCGGACAATTTTTGTTGCGTTAGCATTGATTTTTTTATGCAATATGTAGGTGGTATTGCATTGGTTTCAAATATCGGTGCAATTAGAAATTACTATTGCATCGGATTGATAGTGCTATTGCAACGATTTAGGCATGTTTCAATGCGATACATGGTCACTATTGCATCGAAAGTTTTATGTTGCAAGATGCTAAGACATATTAGCATAGATTGGTCATAGTATACATAGTTATCTGATACAAAGATAATATGCAATGTTTTCAATCTACTGAACCATGTATAGAGAGAATTTTTACGTGAAAAATTAGTCATAGTAACCTTGTCCAACTAAGCAAAGTGCCCTAGTTCATTTATTCTCACAATAGCTAAGCAGAGCAATGCTCAAGGCTGAAGTATAAAACTTGAGCTTGACTTAGTTCCCTACACAAATAGTAAATTCGCAAGTAATTGATAAAGTATAAATTGGTTCTATAAAGAAAAATATTGAAGGCCGAAATGCATATCCAGAAATTTAGGTACACATGCTCACTCAAGTGAGATCCCATACATGGCCTCAAGCCCTAAACCTCAGATGATGTTATGGTTATGTTACTGTCAATAAGCATGGCAGCAGGGTGAAGAAATTTTTTAACATAAAGATTCACAGAAGATGCCCCAATCCACATACATTGCAAAACGATACGAGCTAGATCTTTTTAGTTCAGTTCACACAAACATGGTGATTATGCTAATAATTTGAGATCATAAGGCACAAAAAAAATGCAAAATTTTGGTGTCCCCAATGGTCTAAGATTTGCATGACGAACAAATAAAACAATAATTGGGGGGGGGGGGGTATCAGAATCCAAAGAAGAGCCATTGTTTGTGACGCCTTGTCCTCTTCTCTTTCTGCTCTTTGGGTTCTCTTGCCACAAATTTTTTTGTATATCAATTTCTATGAATCAGTAAGGAGAAAGTGAATAATGAAGTCACATTGATAAAATCAATTATTCCTTTACAACACAAAATATTAATTAAATCAATCATTAAAGTGCATTCAACACAGACAACCATGTTCATCGAGAAGCATATGAAAAGTGTGAATATCATACAATCATCTATAATCTCTCGACAGCTAAAATCTATCTTGTTCACTCTGACACTTGTAGCTTGTCTTTCCATCTACATCAAGTTACACTGTTTCCTTTATGCTGCAAAATAAGAGATTAAGTCAGTGGTTAGAAATTTTGACCAAACATATCATGATTTTTGAAAGGAAGCTAGCAAGTGGATTCTCTGGGCATCAGCAAAAGAGATTGTAGTGATTCTTGTAAAAAAAAACATAAGCATGAACTGAATAGCATGTTATTTATAAAGAACTTTGCTCTCTGATTTCTCATCTTAATTGGTCCCCAAGACATTATAATCTGTAGGTCAAATAGCCATGGAGTTCTTATATACAGTAAAATATAAAACTTGGACAATAAAACTGATTCCTCAGACAGCAGCCAATTAGTCATCCATACAGTAACATAGCTTCAAGATCTAGAGGTATAATTTTTTGAGATCCCTGCAGTACACATAATTGTAATAATGAAATATTGAAATGTATCATCGCTCGAGGAAATTTTTAACTGCATAAGCTAGGCAACAGAAACATTGCAACACATCTTATGGTTGTCCTCATTACTCAAGCGGAGCAGGCACCTCCTCGTAGAACCAGAGAGCTGCATACAGGATTGATTAATCAGATCGAGAGGGCAAAAATCTGAATTAGCAGCCATTCTTCACTAGAACTCTACACTACCAAATCATAGTGGACGTATCCAAAATTAAGTTCGGAAAATAACAATAACCTGCAGAATATAGAACTCTACACCGAAGATGGGGGGGGGGTTGATGTGGTCGTGAAGGATCTCGCCCTGGCCACAGCGAACTGGGATCGAAGCCGCGCACAGATGCTGATCGGTCGGGGCGCGAGCCAGGATGAACTTCGCCGTCTTTGATGGCCGTGAGCGGATCCGCAGAAGGGAGGGTCCACGCCACCGCGGATCTTGTGGGAGAGGGTTCATCTCCGCTGGATCTCCACGGGCTGCTCCAGCACCTCGATGCATTCGCTTGGGGGAACGGAGGGGCAGGGATCGTCGATCAGCATCACGTACTGTGAGGGAGCGGGGGCGGCGCTGAAGGATTGGGGAGTCGAGAAAGATTGAGCGGTCAAGCCAAAGAAGATGCGCTGGATGTACTGTAGACGAGAGGGTGCGGAGATGAGTAGATAGGATTTGTTTCAATTTCACAAATCAGAACGCGGGAGTTAGGCCGCCAAAACTTTTGCAGAAGTTATAACTTTTGGTGCCTAGCCAAATTTTATTTTATTTTTCTAAGAAGATTTTCCAGTGATCGGCATCTATAAACTTTTCTATAACACATGTAGTTTTAAATTTGAAGTAAAATTCCAATAAATTGATACAGGCACATTTATATTCTAAAATGCATAGTATTCCAAAAAAATCATTTATGCAGACAAGCATCTAAAATCAAGATTATATTATTTTTTAATAAAAAATGTGTTAATTATTAATCACCTTGAATCTCACTAAAGATGAGAGAGTTGACTAGAAACAACAACTTGGACTTAACACAAAATGGAACAAACTTGTACATAACTTTGATTTTCTTTATGGAATTTTTTAGAGAAGGTTGTAATTTTTTTAGTCCCTAGCCAAATTTTCAATGCATAATATTTTTGATATTCAAATACCACATGTCGTTATTATCAAATATTTTTAATACCAAAAATGAAAAAATATAATTAAATCGTTCATAGACAAACATATGGAATCAAAATTTTATTAAGTTTTCATTAAAAAAGGTACAAGTAAACAAATGGTCACTTTTAATGATGTTATAAGAAACCCTTTTGGACTCGTGACAAAATTTTAGAATTTTTTAGGATATTTGAGCATTAAAATATATCTAATATTGAAGAGCGAAGCAATTCTTTCTTCTGTCTTTTTCTACATTCCAGAGTGCCCTCCTAATTTTCAAAAAACTAAGGCAGCTTTGTGAAGGATCTTAAACAATATTATCTTATACTCCCTAATTCTTTTTTACGTATCATATTAATTTTTTCCTAAGTCAAACATTACTACTCCCTCTTTATTAGATGTCTTATTAACTTTGTAAAAAACGGAGGGAGTATCTATAACCAGCTATTTCCAAAAAAAAAATCTTTATAGTTTTACAACATATGAATTATATATTATGATAGTGTTTTTCATATAACAAATATAAAAAGCCTAAATCTGATATTATGAAGCTATATATTTCTTTTGAAAATCAATTGTCGGAGATAAATATTTTATTTAGGAAAAACCTAGTACCATATGTAAATAAAAACGGAGGTAGTATACTATAATGTTTTTATGACCAACAAAGCAGTTATACGCAGTAGATCTCAGATGTTTTAAAGTATATTGTGAGTATGAACCAAGCTTGCACCGTATTAAGAAGGATGTTGTCGAGTCATGTAGAAAACTCTAGATGACGGTGTTAAAGCAACCACGACAAGGTATTAGGATTTTGACATATCCGACCACAAATTCAATAAACACAACTCCAAAAGAGTATAAGTAATCATCGCTCTCACAATCCTACTTGACCGTCTACGACCCACTAGTTCTTGCCTATACAAGAATCTAATGAAGTGGAGCTATCTAGCATAATCCTCTTGAGTACTCGTAATTGCTCCTTACAAGGCATGAATGATGCCCTTTAGTTGGCTTGGTGAATACATTGGTCTCTACCTTTTGTTTATATGGTTCCCTCCAAAGGCTCTTTAGTTTATATGGTGGATACATGCAAGTTGGAGTCCTACCCCTAGTAGGATACTACACTGAAGTTACAATAGCACACCTCTATTGAGTCATATTACTACCCGAGCTAAATATCAAATAACTTTAATTTTGCATTATCTGAGGGACACCTTATAGAATAATTATAATAATATCTAAATTTGGTTCGAAATTTCTAAAAACTTGCATGATAGTATATTTTAGGTGTATAATCATTACATAAAAAATTTAAATGGGTTTAACAAGCGGTACCGCACGTTGTTTACAAATAGATACATTTCTCACGTAGCTATATGAAACTATTTGAGAGATACATCTATTTTGTGAATAATGTATAGTCTCACCTTATTTAAAAGAATTTTTATTATGGAAACCTTATGGGTCCAAAATATGCTTTCATGTTAGTTGTAGAATTTCCTGACTAAATTTATAGTATTACAATTATTTTTAGAATTAACATAGAATAATTGTAATAATATCTAAACTTGGTAAGAAAATTCTACGAACTTGCGTGACAACATATTTTTGGTGTATAATCTTTCCACCAAAATTGCAAAATAATTTTAAGAAACCGCTACTATACATTCTTCACAAAGGCATAGGTCCCTCGTAGAGTTATACGAAACTATTGAGAGATGTATCTATTTACAAATAATGTATGGATAGTTTTACATTGTTAAATCATTTGAAATTTTTATGAGAACCTTATACATCAATCTTATGTCTTCATGCTATTTTTTTAGAAATTTCTTACCACTTTACGATACTATTATTTTTTTCTATCGAAGTCACCAAAATAAATCAAAATTGAATCGGATATCTCACACCGTTTTTTGTGAATGAAATTTTAATCCGCGTCGATCTCCCGCCAGCCTATTAAACTTCAAATTTTACCCGCCAGCCAAGTCGCCGAGTAATCCTAGCAAACAGAGCCCTCTGGTCCCTCACGTCTCCACGACCCCTCCCGCAGCCTCCTTCCCACCACCCCTTCTGCAACCTCCTCCCCACCACCGCCGGCCCTCCACCTCTGACCTCACCTTCCCACCGTTTCCCCCTCCACCTTCCCATCGACAAGGGGCAGATCCAGTTGGGACCACGGTGATTCAGGTGGCAGCGTGGAGACCCCCTCTCCTTTGGCTCTCGGATCTAGATCTAGAAAGGGCAAGCGGGTGGTGGAGGACCTATGCAAGTACTGGAGCTGGAGGACATCCACTCCGAGGCGGCAGTCATCACCGAGCCTCCGCACGAGGCCGCTGCCGGCGTGGAGGAGCTCGCGGCACAACTTTGGCATCCTCGACGGCGAGGCCAAGGTGTGGCCGGCTGGCAGCTCACCCCGTCGTCGCCGCCGCCCCGTGCCACGGCGCACAGGTGAGTGGTCGTGCTTGACTTGTGGCCTCTGGTTGCAGGTCTGCGGGCTAGAAGGAGGCGTCATCGTGTCCTGTGGCGGGACCAATGGAATCAGTGGCGCCGCCGCCGTGTTTTGGGCTTTTGGCTGTTCGTGCCGTACCTGCAGCTCCAGTGGCAGGTGAGCGCCTCTCCCCTTTCTTGGCACTTTGTTTTCTTCCTGTGTATCGATAAGTTTCCTAGCAGTTAACTCGAACACCCATCTGTGGCCTGTTGTGGGATGGGATTAATGCTGGATTGTATGACTTTGCCTCCTACACGGTCCATTGACAAAGCTAATTGTTGCTGACTGTGATTTGACTAAGGAAGCTGCAAGAGTTCTAGAAAGAGTACAAAGATAACCTCACACATTTTATCATGAACGTTTGTTGAATTGCAGATCATGACAACTATTATTAGCATTTAGATTTAGATTTAAAAAAGATACAAGAAATTGCCGACATGTCACAAAATATTAATTCTTTAGCTAGCAAATTGCATTATATGTAAGAAGCACTTGTCAAATCTTCTCTCTACTTTGTTTCAGGCACTGCTGGTCCCAGACCATGCATACACAACACCTGTTTACAGCTTGTTCAGTCTGAATCTAATTGTTGTCTGTTGACATAACTAATAATGCTAGATGGGTGATTATTCGTTTTAGCGAGAACTAAATTAATGTGATGTTAACAGTATGAACCGAGAGCAGTTTATGTATTAATAAATGCTTCAATATTAGTATTGGATGGTGCGTAGTGTCGGTTTTGCTTATGTGATCCGCTTAAAAATAGAAAGCTGAGAAGACCGTGACCCACTTGTTCTTCTGCCATGACACACCTTTATATTACCAGTTGAACAACATGATATAGCATGTTCTAAGTTCAAGCTAGAACAGCTCATGTTGATTTTTTTCATCCCTTTTTCTCTCTCAAAATGCAGGCTTTCCATAAGGTTGTCCGCTGCTGGGCTTCAAAGAATTTCATGACTGGATGGTAAAGAGTTGCGAAATTCATCTTTCTTCGCCTTTTGATTACTGTCTATTGTTTAGCAATTGAACTGTAATAGTGCAATTCCTAGTAGCATAGTATAACAATGATTGATGACTAGTGATCATAGATATATTGTGCAGACTGGACAAGCTCAAGTATGAGAGATGGATGCCATAAATGGTGAGCTATTTAAACAAGCATACAAATCTTCAGTAATTGTTGATGTAGCTTCACTTAATTCATATCTGATCTGCAGCAATGTAGATTGAATCAGAGTGTATCTACTAACTGGAAGTTTGTATACATCCTGTATGTATGTTTACTGGAGATTACAGTATTGACTGAATGTTTTTCTAATTTCAGCAAATACCTGTACTACATACTTGATAGAAACTAGCAAGCAACACTTGCATGAAGAAGAGAAGGCATTCTCAGGCTAACTGTAGACTGTTTTTACTGTGACATTGGTTCAGTTCAGGACTTCCATTTTCCTGATTCAGCCATACCTGATTCTATGATGCCTACTTTGCAAATGATTCTACTCATGCAGTCATTTGGAAGATTATGTGATGCCTAGTCTGTGATCCATTATATATTACTGATGCATGTCATTTGGACTTTTTCCATTGAGCAGGAAGATGAACCTTGAGGGACTCTTGGCAAAATGAACTGAATCAAAGATTCTGCAATGACAAAGATCCAATGCTGGTTTGTGCTAAGTGTCATCTATATTTGTTTAATTCTATAAGTTAGTGGTCTATTTTGCAGTTCCAACTTTGTAATTACTTTTTTGAAATAGGAAGCCCTTTGACTTCATTATATTGTACAGAATACTCCCTCCGTCCCATAATTCTTTGACGTTTTATAACTCAAAACTTGTCCCAGAATGCTTGAGGCCTTGTTTAGTTGGGGAAAGTTTGGAAATTTAACTACTGTAGTATTTTCGTTTTTATTTGGCAATTAGTGTTCAATCATGGACTAATTATGCTCAAAACGTTCGTCTCGCAATTTTCAACTAAACTGTGCAATTAGTTTTTTTTCGTCTACATTTAATGATCAACTATATATATTACTAATGCATGTCATTTTCACTTTTTCAGGAAGATCAACCTTGAGGGAGTCTTGGCAAGCTGAAATGAATCAAATATTGTGCAACGAGAAAGATGTCATGTTGATCTGTGCTAAGAGACATGTATTTTTGTTTATGATTGCCTATTTGTAGCATAAGTTAGTGGTTTGTAATGCAGTTCAACTTTGCAATTACCTATTTGGAAATAGGAAGGCATTTGACTTCCTTACATTGTACAAACTATTGAATGCTTATGATTCAAGTTATTAATATGAATTTGATGCAATAATTGGTTGCCCTTCAAATGCCATTGAATTTTATAATTTTATGAATTTCTGTGCAATGAATTTGATGCAATAATTGGTTGCCCTTCAAATCTCATGTCGATGCAATAGTTTGTATTGCATCCAAGCTCATGTCGATGTGATAGTTTGTATTGCACCTAACCTCATGTCGATGCAATAGTTCGAATTGCATCGAACATAACGTCGATGCAATAGTTCCTATTGCATCAAACAAAAAGGATGATGCAAGAGAACCTCTTGCATCGAATCAAAATGGTGATGCAATAGATTATATAGCATCGAACCTAATATGGATGCAATATAGTCTATTGCATCGAACGATAGCCGTTGCAATAGATGTATTGCATCAACATGATTTGGATGCAATAAGCTATTGCATCTCTCAATTTTGATGCAAGAGACAACGGATGGACGATGCAATAGCTGCTTCTCGCATCAACCACAAGTAACCGATGCGAAAGGCTATTGCATCAAGACCACTTGCATCGGTTGGCATCAAACGAGAAATTGATGTGAAACCGAACTATTACATCTATTTTAGACCTATAACATCAAAAATTGACCGGTGCAACAGGGTCAAAATTTAGTAGTGTCATTTGATCTATCACTCCACTAAACATGATGAAACTATACATGATCTTGTAGAAAAAATTTATGAGCTGTCCAATTTCCAACAAACTTGATCCATGTGATTTATGAGGTGTACTTCTTCCTATCCATGTTGCATTTCCTCCCATTCAGCCATTTCTGCGACACCAAAAATCCTTCTAATGTGGACAATACAAACTCTCCTAATAGCTGCGTACAGCCATGGACATTTGTTTGTTAGTTGCAACTCTGAAAATATTTGGGAAATAGTTTTCAACGCCCCCCTCCCGATGTCATACATCCTCCCAAAATCCGATCTTCTCTCCAGCACCTGCGAAGTTCCTGCCAAAATTGGGAAGCACCTGTATTGTGCACCTCAAACATACTCTTATATATGCCCTCTTTGGCTTATAATGAATCCAAGGAAAGCCACGTTTTGGTGGTTTCAGTTTCTGGCTAAAAATAGCTTTGGCTTCACCGTTTTTAGCTTAGTTTTAGCTTCAGAAGTCAGATTCTCACATGTGCACATTTGGCAGGGCTTTTGATTAAGTCGGTGGAGAAGCCCAATGAGAAATCTCTAACAATGAGGACTTTATTGTCAATTATTTTCTTTATCATGATACACATACTCTGCTCTCCACTTTTAACTCTCTATCTCTCTATGTATATCTATTTGTGATAAGGACAGCATTCATTGCACTCGTCTCTAATAAACCTAAACCACCAAAGCCTTTGGGTCCCGCAAGCCCTTCCCATTTAATCATATGCCATTTTTTCTTATTCCCCGAGCCCCCAACAAAAATTTACAGGCCTTTATAAGCGCCTCACAAAGCCCTAATAAAACTAGAAAAACAAGAGCATATGAGACGGAGCACGTACGTACATACAAATGCGAGAGAGAAAGACTAAAAAATTATATAGTTGCATGTACTTCCATAGGATTAGAAGGGATCAGGATTCGAAGGTGCACGGGTTCTTCCACTGGTTCGGCTCCTCTGTGGAATATATTTGGCCACTAATTGTACGGTGCCATATATTTGGCCAGGCTAGCGATCTCGTGTGATAGGCCATGCATACCAATTAGCTCCTCTGTGGAATGAAGCAGACTTGCGGTGCATGGCCACAACATATATATGCTTCAGCTCGGTCCAACATTTCCAAGTGATATGGGCACTATATATAGCCATATATATACTGGTAGTCCATCTGAAGTGTCGCGGTGAATCATATATATAGCCTTATAGTGGTAGTCCATGCATCTCAATTGTTAGATTATTATAATTATATTCATCAATGGCCAAAGATACCAAAGTGGTGATCTGTTGTAGTAAGGCCTTATTTAATTCCTCCCCCTAAAGTTTAGTCCATATCACATCGGATGTTTGGACACATGCATAAAGTATTAAATATAGACTAAAAAATAACTAATTGCATAGATTACGACTACTTTGCCAGATGAAATTTTTAAACCTAATTAGTCCATGATTTGACAATGTGATGCTACAGTAAACATGTGCTAATAACGGATTAACTAGGCTTAATAAATTTATCTCGCAGATTAATGAGGACTTATGTAATTTGTTTTATTATTACTATCCGAATACTCCTATGTAACACTCTATGTGACACCCGATATGACACCCCTAAATTTTATCCTCTGAATTTAAACACCACCTGAGGGTGAGCGTGGGAGGTATCTGGAATTTGGTGTGGCCGTCAACCCATGGTGCAACTGGAGCGACTCCAGCTGCACGCATGTGCCCATAGACCCATGGTGGAACTAGCTGCCTAGACTCCACTTGCACGCATGCGTCTGCGTTGGGTGCAGTCACTCTGGGAATGTACAGTTATGAGCATCTGCATGCAGAAGCATCATTTGACTGATTTGTATAAATCCGATTAGCTAGCTAGACGAGTAGTGACGCCTTCTTTTGAAGACAAGACTAAAAATGGATTTGTTTCTCATGTGGCACGTGAGTTATCTTTATATATAGTGTTTTTGTTCGCATTTAATTAATATATGATCCACCAGTCGGCATCCAGTAGCCTTGTTGGTTGTATGCGATGCGTGTCTGTCTCCGATTTTGCTGCGTCTCTC